TTTTTACAGATATGCACTAAGCTGAACACTTTGGAAGAAATAAAGAAAAAAGAGGTGTAAAACTAGCAAAAAGGCCAAAGGAGGAGAAATGAGCTCAAAGCCCATTATACATGTGAGCACGTGGCCCACCATGAAGAAGACCTTGACGACCGTCAAGGAGGCGTGCCGAATGTTACGCACCAAGAAAGACCAAGTGACTATCGTCACTTGAATGTGACGAACGTCACAAGCCACTTACTCCACTTTCTCCTCATCCAACGGACAGAAACACATTCAAATGTTAATCCAGCGACTACCTACATTTTCTCACCCACTCAGTCAAAGCACCAAGGAACGTGACTGATTAATGGCCCTATTATTTCTCAAAGGAGGAAGTAAACTGTTCCTACATTCTAGAGAACAACTGATCACGCAAGACTTATAAATAGAGCCTTAGACCACAATAGAAAGAGTTCTCCTTTTTGGCAAGAAACTTTAGAGATTTTATATTTATTTTGAGCGAATATTCTTTTCAGCATTATTTTATTTCCCAACTATTTCTATATTCCTTTCCAGCATTATTCTCTTCCGTACGGTTAAATATATTCTCCGATCGAAGCAAAGCCTACAATTTGTGCAGGAGTGCTTCTGTCTTCAGATTTATTACCAGGTTTATGTTTACAAATTCTTATTGCTTTTTAATCAATATAATTATGTTTATTTTTGTTTGTCCCTTAAATTATTCTGCGACTTGGTTTAATATTATGTTAGGCTAGAAATCATATACCGGTATGTAAAGTCACTCAACCAAGGGAACGAGTAACTTAGTTGGGATTATTTTTACTACGAAACTTTCTTTTCTGGCCTAAGTTACTATTTTTCAATCATTAAATTGTTTTTTTACGGAAGTAAAAAATAGATAGAGGTTAGGGTCAACAAAGCGGAAGTTTGAGATCTTTTAATTGGACAGTAGTAATTAGGCATTGACTTAAAATACAGCGGAAACACTTTAAAGTTAATTAAGATTTTATTTAGTTTTCAAAAAGTGTTTTTAACTCCTGCGGGATGGCGGAAGCGTACATTAGGACTTAACTGCATAGCCTAGATCAACAAAACGACAGTGTGAGACGAGGGTTTTTAAACTAAATAAGTTTTACTGAAAGCTATTTTGAAAATATAAAGACGCCTAACATGTCGCTAGTTCCCGAGGTACGACTATTGCATACTGGTAATTAAGTTAACTGATTATCAAAAATCCAATTTGATTTAGTATTTAGTTTTCCCTACAACCCAATCAAATATTCATTAGCTTTAGATTTGCGAAGTAACAATAGAAGACGATAGATCGATTCATCAGTCTCTGTGGTTCAATATCTTTTAAAACTACATGATAAGACTGTGCACTTGTAGTCCGAATCATTGGATACATAAGTACAATCCCGATCAATAATGCCAAAATTCCTCCGTTAGAACAACAGAAGAAAAGAGGCTTTTGCAAATATCATAACTTTCTAGACCATAAAACTTCACAATGTTTCCTATTTATGAATCTTATTCAAAATTCTATCAAAGAAGGACGTTTGAAGTTTGCTGAGAAAGTCAAGAGCCACATGAAGGTTGATGTTGACCCCCCCTCCATGTTACAGATACCAATTATACTGAACCTGTGGAGATTAACATGGTGGACATGGTGGAAACTAGCTCAATCGCATGAAGAGTGTTAATGTGTTCAACAATTTAGTTTGGAGACGCCATAGAAGGTGATTGGAAGTTTTGAGTAAAAACGAAGGTGGTTTTTGTTTGCTGAGTTTGGAAGCTAAGAGTTTAAGGATGAAAAAAGAGCGTAAAAAGAAAATGAAAGATTGAAAAGAGTATTTATACCACCAAAGAGCTCAAACGTTTGGGAAGAAAGTGGGAGAAAATTGTGGCCACACGACTGGCACGTGTCAAACAGATGGCGACTAAGGTGAGGAAGTTGGTAAGTCGGAGGCCACGAGTATCCTAGGAAATTGAAGCTAGAAAGTAAGGGAGTGTCCGTGTGATCGCTGATGTAACATTTGCAGAATAAAATCATGATTACAGTGACGTCACTTCGCACTAAGAGGAAAGGATTAAAATGTTTGTTTCTTCCCCATGCAGCCGAAAAGGACATTTTAGGGGGCAATTTGTTGGTTGGGATTTTCATAAAGAAAGAAATTCAAACCAAAAGTTAATAAGACTCTTTAAGAGAATTAAATTATGAGGATTCGACTACATAAGCATATCGACCATGGTTAATTTTACAGGCAGACGACCAAGGTTTCATAAGCGCAGTCGGTCAGAGAAAAATTCATGGTGAATGGATTGGGCCCAGGGAGGTGAGAAGCCAAAAGAGTTAAAAGGCCCATAAGCGCCTAAATTGTAAAGGCGAAACGTTATGGAGGGAGAACGTGAGTTCGACCACAATGGAGAACGTGGGTTCACAAAGAGAAGTTACAATAGAGAACGTGGGTTCGTGAGGGGAAGTTACGAAGAACACGTGGCACGCAAGGAAATGAAGCCCACTTATAAAGTAGTTATTTTTGTGTTTTATAAATAAATCACTTAGTGCACTTTTGTAAAAGGTCAAACTTTTCACATTCATGCACGCTAGTCACTCAAAGTAACCAAGCGAACGAGTGAAATGATTCAGGCAAAGGTAATGTATGTTTGAACCAACCTATTTTATAACTTTCTTTAATATTATGTCATTATCTTTTACAACTTAAAACGCTTTTTCGTTTCCTTTACTTCGTCCTTTTGTCCTTATCTTTTGAAATTTAAATACGTTTGGCTCTCAGTCAAACGCACCCTTTTGAAAACACTTTGACTACACACGCGAACTGAAGCACTGCTCCGAGATTCCCTGGTCGATCTCGCACGTAAACTTGTTTTCAAGAGACCGATGTTGTTTACCAAATCCACGGGTAAACAATTGTACGCATATTTTGATCAGAGTTTCAGCGCGTGATTCAATCGTCATCTTCTATGCTTTTTCATCAGAACTTCCCTGTACATTTAATCAAATTAGAGAGCATAATTGTTCTTCATAATAATCATGTAATTGTTATCATCAAAACTAATACTTAGATGTAGAACCAAACTATATTCTAACAAATAGCACATGGTCGAAGCAAGCACATCGAAATGAGGTTCCACTATCTTCAAGAACGGGTAACAGATGGGAAGATAAACTTGGAACACTCTAGAAGTGAGAATCAGATTGTAGACATTATGACGAAGGGAGTGCAAGTCGAAGTATTCAGAAGACTAAGAGCTATGATGAATATAGATAGCTTAGTCACAATTCATTAGGTGGTGTGTTGAAAGTGTAATTCCTTGTGTCGAAACAGCTCTCGACAGAAACAAGGAAGTGTTGAAGAGAGTGTATTGAAGTGTGGAAGCAGTTTGTTATACACATATTTGATTTAAATCTAAAAGATAAATTTAGTTTAGGTTTAAATTAGATAGATTTGATTTAGGTTTAAAATAGATAGATTTGATTTAGTTCTAAAATAGGTATTTTGGATTTTTATAGTCTTGGGTTTTTGGCTTAGGGAGCAAGTTAACCTAAAATTATAGAGGGAGTAACCCTAATTTTTGGTAATCAAGTTGCATTCACAGAATTTGCAGTTGCAAGTGAATAAGAAAGTTTTCTACAGTTTGTGGGCAGAGAAAAACTCTACAAAAAATTATTGTCTTCTCTTTCTTTCTTTTATATTTTTCATTGTCATTGTGTGATGATAACAATGTTGTTCATTAAGATTGATAGAAATTCATCATAGATTTTGGTAGATTTCCAACAAAAATTAGAATAATACTAAAAAAACCAAATTAAACCGTCAAAAATTATTTGAACCAAAGAATCGAAATCGATTTTATAAAACTATCTGATTTTTAAAACATTAATTTGACCGTCTTATACTAATACTTTTACTATCTTAAAATATAAAACAAAAAAACTTTTTATAGTCCTAAATTATATTTAAAAAAAATTATCTATTTTTAAGGTAAAATTATTTATAAATTGTATTAAATTTATTTTCTCCTTTTTCTGTAATTAATTAAAATTGTTTTTATAAATTTTATAAAACTTCTTTTATAGAAAATACAAAATTTCTTAATTCAAATAATTAAATTTTAAATCTTAATTATCTCAATAAATGTAATTCTTTTTCTCTTATATATTAGAATAGAGAGTGAGAATATTTTTTAAGAGAATGAAGTGTATTTTGAGAACATGGAGAAAAGTGTATAGAAGGGAAAAAAATTCTTAAAGGTATAGACAATTAGGCACCGTACATGAGTAATTGAGAGCTAGAAGTTAAAAATAAAGTGAAAAAGTGAGTAAATCCCTGTAAAAAAGGCTTGAAAATGAATGGACAGGACCCAACAATGTTACTGAAAATTCACTCAATCACATGTAAACAAGCCAACAAATCCAAGTCCAGTACAAAAAGCAGCGAGCGACGTGTGTGCTAGATATAAGCAGAATTATATAACACGGCACACAATTCAATCAAACCATGCCTTGGAATTCAAGTCATTTAGTAGTTAGTAAATGCAACATCAACATCAATTAAACCCTTAAGGGTTGGTTTAATGGTGATGACATCGGTTTGAAAATGTGTTTCTTTCAAAGTCTTTGAAATTAATTTTATTAGGTTGAGTCAGTCCATACAAAATTGTGCTCAGATTTTTGAACAATGAAATAAGTAGTCTATTATAAAACTCGGATATTAAAATTTCAAAAAATAATTATATATATATAAAAATTAAAATCACATCAATCTTAACTTAGATTAAGATGACACAATAGACAGAGAGAATATAAAGTCTGAAAGAAAAAGATAAATAATAAATTAGAAAAGACCAAACCAATATTGGTGAAGTGGAAACATCCACTTTTTCTTCTCATTCTAATTCCTTTCTCTTCTCTTCACTCCATTCCACTACAAAGCTTCTTCATTTCTCAACACTTTCCTCCCATCTCACAAATCACAATGACCGAACCAACTTCCAAACCGAATGTTAACGGTGTTAACGGTGCTGCTACAGCTAATGGTAATGGAAATCCAGTTCCTGTGAAAGCTCAGCTTTACAATCCAAACCGTCAAGTTTACCGTCCGCAATCACAATACAATCGCCGCCGTCGATCTAACCGTAGCCTCTGCTGTTGCTGCTGTTTCTGGACAATCCTCACCGTTCTTGCCGCCGCGCTTCTCGTCGCAATTGTCGGTGCTGCACTCTACGTACTCTACCATCCTCACCAACCACAATTCTCAATCACAAACCTCCGCATTGCGAAGATGAATCTCAAAACCTCAACCGATTCACCTTCGCATCTCACCACACTCTTCAACCTCACACTCATCGCTAAGAATCCTAACAACCACCTCATTTTCTTCTACGAGCCTTTCACTGTCACCGCTTTCTCCGATTCAGTTCAAATCGGTAACGGATCGTTGCCGGCGTTTGATTCCGGGAAGAATAATCAGACGAGTCTGCGATCGGTGCTATCGGATTCTCAAGATCTGGATACGGATTCGTTGACTAGTTTGAGATCGGGTTTGAAGAAGAAGAAAGGCTTCCCGATAGTGATTCAGATGGATACGAAGGTGAAGATGAAGATGGAGTGGTTGAAGAGTAAGAAGGTTGGGATTAGAGTGACGTGCGAAGGAATCAGAGGATTTGTTCCCGCCGGAAAATCGCCGTCGGTGGCGTCGGTTATCAACTCGGAATGTAAGGTGGATCTTCGAATCAAGATCTGGAAATTCTCCGTTTAGTTTTGTGAGTGGTATCAATTATCATTAGCATTATCATCTTTGATTATTGTTATTATTGCGAATTATTTGATAATCAATACTAATAATCAATCCAATCATCAATTTTTTTTCTTTTTATTTTATATATTTTATATTTCATTCTTTTTTGATTTCATAATTGCTTTTTATGGATTGATTATGGTTATCATCAAAATGTGTTGAGAAGGTCAAATTTGTAAGGAAAAAAATTTGATTTGAGTTTTTCTTCTTCTTTTTCTTCGGGTTATTGTAACTTGTAATCTGTAATTTGTTTTAATAGTAATGCAATTGCAAATTATGATGTCTTAATTGTTAGTATCTTGATTAGATCTATGTCTGATAATTAATCTATCACCATGTGAAAATATATTTTCTTCTTTTTCGCAATAGTTTGTACAATTTTAAAGCAAACAAAAAAAGGTAACATGATTTTTTAAAATTATAATTGTTAATAAAAATGAAAAAAAAAACTAATTATTCGTGATTTTCTTTAAAAAAAAAAAAAAAAGATACTGAGGGAAATGTATTTTGTTTTGATTGGAAATTAAATAAAGTGAAAGTTAATAAAGGAAATTAAAACATGCTGAAACAAGTCATGTCTGGTCCTATATTGTTGGATATTATGTATTTTGCTTAGTTTTAAAATTGAATAAAATGAAAGCAATTAAAGAAAATTAAAACATGCTGAAACAAGTCATTGTCAGGTCTTATATTATTGGATATTATGTATTTTGCTTAGTTTCAAAATTGAATAAAATGAAAAATTGTTGAAACAAGTATCGATTGTTCTATATTATTGAAATTTTTGTTTGGAAATTTAAGGATACAAAAGACAATCATTTCAAAGATTTATATAATTTTTAATTAAATTTAAGTTTACTTTGGAACTTTTTTTTGGTAAGCAAGTTTAATAAATAAAAAGCATTGGGAGTACTCCAAATAATACAACTTAATTCTAAAAAAGACAAGATTTCAGTCAGAATGCAACTTAAACTAAATAATGGTTAAGACTATGAAAGTTGTTATACGTTATCAACCTTTTAATCTTAGAATTTAGAAATTAAATTAGTGCATGTTTGGTTTAGTTTTTTTTTGAAAGGATTAAAAATAATTTTAGAAACGTAGAATTGATTTGATTTTACGTGATTTTGAGATATTTAATTAAATAAAAATAATTTTTTAAATGATTTTAAATTAAAATTTATTGTTCAACTTTCTTTTACATAAATATATTCAAACATAAATCAATTATGTTAAACTTAATTATAATAAAATCATTTCAGTCAAACTTAATTTTATTAGAATCAATTATATTCACCGTTAGTCCAAACACATTTATAAAAAAAGTTTTAGAAAAATAAAACACCTTTATAAAACCACATAATTTATCTAGCTAAAATATTATAAATCAATAAAATGCTAAAGAGAGAAAACATTTCAGCTAAATTAGTATTTTCAGTCCTACCACCTAAACTAAGACTTTAAAACAAAATATTAAAAATTATAATAAAGAACAAATATTTAGGAGAATTACAGCAAACCTCACGAAATGAAAATTATGATAAATATTTTGTGAAATGAAAACTATTGAAAAGAAAAAGAATAGAATGCATAGCAAAAGTAAGAAAAAATGTAATAGAATAGAATGAATATTAGATAAGTTAAATAATGATAAATAGTTTAATGAGCTCCATTAGTAAGTTGTTTTATAGTACTATACTCCTATATCCTCATTGATGTGGTGTGGGGCACAAATATACCTTTTAATTACAAGTGGTATGGTCAAAAAATATGAATTTCAGGCCAAAACATAGATCCCAAAAAGAAAAGTGTCCATAGATCTGAAGGCAGTGGGTGGTGGTTTCTGTACAATCTTTAAATGCTTTCCATTTTCTACCCTTCCTATGGGTACCTATCTCACCCCTGAAAATCACTCTTTCCTCCAAAACTACATGACCAAAACACTCGTATCAGATTAGATTCTACGGCCCTACCCTGCTCTTCATACAAAATATTATTTAAATAATAAATTATAAAAGGAGATAAAAATAACATGTATAATTTGTGTAACTGATTTTTCATTTATGAGCATCAAATGAAGCGCGTGATAGTAATAGGTTGCACGTGGTTACTATGGTTTCTTCTCAGTTTGGTCGGCAAGCAATTGGATTTGGATCTGTCTTCCAATTCTTTTTTCTCAGTTTCTGTCCCACTATTGACTTTATCGTTTAATTCATTTTTAAATGTTATTTTAATTTTTATAGATGGTTGTTAAAAACAGTTTTATTATTTATAGTTTTTATGAATAGTTGTGAAGAATTTTACATTGAAAATATATAGTACTTAATCTCAATTAATTTTATTAATATTTTTTATAAAAAACAATTTTATAAGCAATGCTAAGAAAATTTATAGTGTGAATCAAGAGAGAACACAAATTGTTTTATTTAGCATACACTCTGATCATTATGTTGCTTTAACATCTAACTTTAAATCATCTGCAAACAAGTGAAGGCATTGGAAACCATTAACAGCATTGTAAGAATACATTTGAAAGAAGTGATAATGTTTGAAGATATAATAATGTTTCTTAGTAATTTGACTTAATAATTTATTTCCAATGATTGTCCAGATTGTTGGAGACTTACAAGCATATTCAGAGCAAATTAATAACTACATGGCCATTGCAGACAACAAGGAGAAGTAGGAAAAGATGTATGAGACCTAAATTGTAGGTTTAAAGAGTTCCACATCAATTCGTAATAAGCAAACATTAGTGTTTATCTAATAAATTGAAAGCTGACTAAGTATATGAGCAGCTTTGAAATCAAAAATGCGCTGAAGTCAAAAACGTATATTTTTTTAAGTTAAAAAATTAATTCATTAAAAATAATTTATGAAAATGTAAAATAATTAATATAAAAAAATAAAAATAAAAATAAATAAAAAATGTTTAAAAAAATAATAATTAAGAAACATAAAAAATAAGAAAACTAAAAAAATAAATAAATCATAATTTAAAAAATGTCACAAAAAATATGACAAAGAGTTTAAAAATAAATCAAAAATAAAATTCAACTGGATGTATGAAACAGGGATTTCTGAAAACAAAATCTTTGTATATTTAACCCTAGTTACAAATATAATAGTTGTGTCATAATTAATGTAAATTAATATAGATTAGTGTTATTTGAACACTTAAAAAGTTGACACCATATTTCAATACAGTATAAAAATATTCTATATATAAGTATTGATATGATATATGGAGAAAAAATTAATAAAAAGCTAAAATTGTAAACACAGCGTATAAATATATGGTGTTCAACACCTAAAAGAGTGTCAATATAACATTTCTCTTAGTATAATGTTGTTACGTTTACAAAATGTAATGGTAGCTATACTTGTGGAGTGTGTATGTGAATATTGTTGGGGGATTTCAAGGAGCATGGATATGAAGTTGGAGAATATGTACTTTTATAAGAGACATGTCAGTTGTTTATTTAAAATTTTAAGGTGATAAGTGAGTGGGTTCTCACACTCTAATGTAGAATTATTTCTCCACTTATTTATACTTGTATTATTATTCTAACACTCCTCCTCAAGTGTGAGTCCACAATGCTTCTCACTTATACTGCCGTTTACATCTTACAACAGAACATCACTCTTGGACGTATTTCGATACAAGTTCTTTCTGGTCCTTTTTTCGAACCAAAGACTCATGATATCATGTTGAGGGAGTTACTAGGAGCATCGGTGTAAAATTGAAGAGTATGCACTTTCGTGAGAGACATACCACTTATTCACCTAAAACTTTAAGGTGATAAGTGAGTGGGTTCTCTCACTCCAATGTAAGATTATTTCTTCACTTACTCACACTTACATTATTATTCTAACATATATTATATTAGATTAAAATATATTTTTGGTCTACTTGTACTTTTTTTTTATATTTTAATTTCCCTATAACAACGATCAGCTATTAGATTCTCAATATTAAATAATTTGAATTTTTTATAGTCTTTGGTTATTTGTCAGGTTTTTTAATAATATGACACTTTAAAATTTGTCCCGTGACTTATCACATCATTAAAAATGTTTAAATATTTAAAAAATTATTTTTTTTTCAAACTTTTTTTAAAAATTATTTTATTTATTTTTTCTTAAACTTTTCTTTTTAATTATTTTATTTATTTTTTCTTAAAATTTTCTTTTTTAATTATTTTAGTTCTTTATAATTATTTTATTTATATTAATTACTTTATTTTATAAATATTTAATTTTTAAATTCTTTTCAAGTGCAGCCCAATACACAATAATCAATAGCAATAATGTAAAAGTCATTTATAAACACTTGTCTCTTATGTGAACAATTCAATGTGGGACTTAAGCATAGTATTTCTTGATATATTTTCAAAACTATGTTGTGGTAGGCAAGTTGTTGGACTCCATTTCAGTAATCATCTCCAACACAACTTTCTGAGATTTGTACACCAGTTATTGGACAACTTTCTGAGAAAATTTCAGCTAAAGAGCCATTTTTCATGTATTCATAAAACCAATATATATCAAATGAAACATCTCACTTCAAAATTTTATCTCATTTAGAGATATCCATCATTCTTCTTAAAATACTGTCAAGGAATTCTCATACAAAATAATTTGTTTCAAATGAAATATTTATCAAAAAAATGTCAGTGTGTGAGGTATTTTTAATGAGGAGAAAATAGAGAGAGAATAACAAAATAAGGATTTGTATTATTGAATTGTGTAAATAATGATACAGATTAGGACTATTTATATACAACCTTAATTGAGCTTGAGTCTACACAACTTGAATTATTTTTAAATATTAAATCAAATCAAATCAAATCAAATATTTTAATAAATCTAATTTAATATTTCAACACACTCCCATAATCCATGTTGTCGAACATCCTAAAAAATAGTCAATCTGAAATATTCCTAATTTCTTTTTCAAA